AATTTTATGTTATGAGAATATTTATATGCTTGTGCAGGACGATGTTAAGCATTTTATCTACCCTTTGCAAAGGAAACAAGTATTTCTCATCTATCTACATCCATTGCAACATAATTTAATCCGCAGTATTCTTAAAGCTTCAGCTTCTGAGGTTTCACAACCTGTTAAAAATGCGAAACACTATGCCCCGCTTCAGTTATCTATAGAATTTATCTAAAAATAAAACTATCAAAAAATTGCAGAACGTCGTATCTGTGAAGGAAATCTGAATAAATATTCATCAGGCCAAACCAGTTGCGAAAGAAGGATTAACAACTGTGTATTAAATTAAACAAGGTATAGGATTAATTAAAGAAAAAATCTGAGTTGGACAAACCATGTCCTCCTTGTACGGCCTATTGAAATATACACAATTTTTTGCTGCATTTCATTTAAACTTATTTCCTCGAATTTTATTAGAGATATATTTCACATTCAGTTAATTCAGCTCTCGCTTAGCGGCAAGGCAAGTACACAAAAATTCAAAATCTTCATTAAAAATTGTAAAATACAGAAAATCGTAAAACATCAAATGCAGCTAGAAACAGCTTAAAACAGTTTTTAGAACTGAAATTGGAGTTTTAATGCAAAAACAAGCAATTCGACCAGCGGGCACGAAGACGTTTTTCAGTGCACAAAACTTATAAAACCTTATTTTGCATTATTTTTATTTTAAGAAACGTTTCTCTTCTGATTTCAGTTTCCTACCAGAATATAAATTTAAATACTCGATACTACACGATTATGTGTAATCATTAATCGTCATCTTCACAATAATGCGCAAGTATCATTCTGAGTGTATCATTTCTATGAACGCATAAATATTTGAATGTTTCAGCTCTATCGATGTATGTATAGCCAAGTAGGATAATACATGATTATGCATTTTCATTAATCGTCGTCTTTTCGTATACTGTGCAAGTGTCATTGTCAGAGTATCATTGCTGTTAATGTGTAAGCGTTTAAGTGTATCATTTCTTGTAGTGTATGTATAACCATACAGGATGATACACAATTACGTGTAATTAATATTCATATTCCCATTAATACACAAGTATCATTATCAGTGTATCATTTCTATTATTAGTGTATCATTTCTATTATCAGTGTATCATTTCTATTATCAGTGTATCATTTCTATTATCAGTGTATCATTTCTGTATAAGTAGTTATCGTTTGTCTGTCAGCCAGTTGTACGAAATGAGGGAAGTATTGTAATCGTGAAAAATTTCAAGTATCTTATTTAAAAGAAAATATCCATTTTTACAGCTCTCGAATTAATTTAAACGATATATTTGTGCGACATCTGTGCGGACAAAATAAAGGACTATTTTCCGAAAACAGATTGTAAAATGGATTCTGAAGAACTTTTTTGTGACGTTGTTACGTACATACGTATCTATCTCGCATACTCAAAAACGAATAGCCTCAGAACGTTAATTTTGTATATGGGACTGCGTAAAATGTAGTAGTGCATCGGTTGCAATCGGCGGCACCGATATAGTGTGCATGCATATATATATATATAATTTATTTACTAAATAATATTGATTAATTGGTTATCTCCCAAGTTTAATTATAGTAGGATTATCTTAAGAGTGAATCCATACTAGTAAGTTATATTTTGAAAGATGTTTTGACTTGAAGGAAGTGATTGTTTTTCATTAAATTCAATATGTGTATAACTCATACACAGATAATAAAATGATTAAAAAATTAAGGTCATAGTACCTGTTCATGGCTCACAATCACCCACTGAATGTTAAAATTAGTAGTTGATCGAACCGTCCCTGGCGGCAATGCATGCTTGAAGCAAGGAGTGATAGAGGTTCCTAATGTCTCCTGCGACGCATTCTGCCAGGCATTCACCAGTTGGTTCTCCAGATCTGCTATATTTTGTAGTACCTTAATCTGGGGGGGGGCTACCATGCCCCAGACATGCTCGATTGGTGAAAGGTCTGGTGAACTTGCTGTCCAAGGAAGAGTATCAACCGCACGGAGACAGTCCAGACATATGCGAGCGGTATGTGGCCTGGCATTATCTAGTTGGAAAATGGCTGGTGATGATGTGCCATGAAGGGTTTTGCAACCAGCTGCAGAATGGTATTAACATATCGTTGAGTTGTTAAAGATGTAGGAAGGATGACTAAAGATGACCTACTGTCATAAGGAATAGCGCCCCACTCTATCACACCAAGGGTTATGGCTGTATGCCTTTGTAAAACAAAGTCTGATTGGGACCGCTGGACCCGTCCTCTCGAGATACGAACACGGGTGGTCATTTGCTTCAAGACTGAAGCGGGATTCATCGCTGAGCACTATACGATGCCAGTCTGATGGCAGCCATGGTGATTGGCTGCTACACCACTCCAAACGACTCCGCCGATATTGTGGGGGTCAAAGGCAAACGTCTTGAAGGCCTCTGTGAGTAATCCTGCCTCAGACAAGCGCTGTGAGATGGTGGATGGTACCCACGGGAGGTATACACGTGGCTGTAATGTGTTGAATAGTCGACAATGATACCGTTGGGGCTGTTCGGACCTGGCGAACAATCCTCGTATCTTACCTCGCATTTGTGATCCTTGGGCTTCCACAGCCTTCATTTCATCGGCAGTTTCTTTGTAGCAACCGTTGCTGCCAACATCTTTGCACAGCAGTGTTTGTACGCTGCAGGTGACGGCCTATTGCTCGGTATGACCACCCAATTTCACGCACCCTACAATGCGACAACGTTCGAAGTCGTTTAGTTGTCTGTGAGGTTTTCGATATCGTCGTAATGGTATCTTTAGTTGCTTCTTTACGGAATTACAATTTCAGTAACAGAAAAAGATAAATTTTCCGCTTCTTGGTGCTTCCATTTTTTTGGAGTGAATATAAACTTAGAGCATCTAAAGTTAAAAGTAAATTGAAGTGAAAAGACGGCAATTTCTCTATAATATTAATAATTGCATCCTTGTGTAAGAGGTGTAACGCAATATCTAAACAATTCAAAATTTAAAAAAGGATCATAGTGGTACAAACTCTAAAACCGAAAATGCAAAAAGGAAAAAATACACAAATAAAAATATAAAAATCTTCTTTTACTGAAATTCCAACTTTGAACTGATAAGGGGAAAATGAATTATAGCTTCATAAAAGTTGTTTAATATACTTCGAAAACGTGTTTCGTTCTCCTGGTTTATTTGAGATAATTGAAAAAAGAAACAAATTTTCATTACATTAAAATTCATATAAAACCTAAAGTACTGAATCTTAAATGTACTAGGATTTTCCCTACACGCCTTCGAAACACTTGGAAAAAAAGAATAAAACATAGCATTTTGTGTGTAGTCAGTTTGAAACAAACAAATAAATAAATAAATGAAACTTTACATTATGTCAAATTCAAAAAACCAAATTTGTCTAAAACTATTATACGCAAATTCGAAATTCAAAATCAAATATAAATATAGGCGCAATACAAATATATTTTAAACCAAATAGTCAATACAAATATATTTTAAACCAAATAGTCATTTAAACAGTAGTCTAAAAATAAACGGCACTCGACCTTCAAACGAAAATTTACTTAATTCTTCAGATGACCAAGCTGTGTTTCTAGCAGAATTCATAGTTGCTCTGGAGAAAATAGAAAATGGTAGTTCTTGGCAAAAATATGCGAAAAGGTTCAAAGTGTCCAGTAGTAGAACTAAGTATTTAAACATGTGTTCAAAAGAACCCTATCCTGTTAAACTTTATGTGCGGGGGTGTCAAACGTGGGGCCTGTCGTAAAAATTATTACTGCGAGGTAGGGTGTTCGTCGGTTCCAAAATGGCGGCGTTACGAATCTTCTAAAAGATACCGTTTTCTATAAAATTTGAAAACATGTAAGTAGTACTAGCTCAAAGTTGAGGAAAAGGGTAATATGTGTTATAAAAGATAAGTCTTCACGTAATCGGGGTACAAAACATCTCCGAAGCTAAAAAGCCCTATTTTTTTAGTAAAGGCCAGTATAAATTTATAAGATAGCAAAGAGAAAGTACACATAACTGAAAAGGGAAAAGAAGTAAGATTTTTGTACATATTTATATTAAATTTCATATCATAGTCATCCAAATATGACCCCCGATTAAGGTTTAAGTAATAATTTTCATATCACTATAGATGAGAAATTTAAAACTTTAAAGAAATTGTGCAAGGATGTAATTATTAATATTGTTGAGGAGTTGCCTTGTGTTGACTCCAATTTACTTTTTTTTTTAAACTTTAGATGCTTTGTTTATTTTACTTCAATCCTGCAGCTGACGGGTATAAAAAATTTTGTTTTTCATTTTCGCCTTTTATTAAGTTTCCTTATATACATATAATACCAACTCTTACCCGGCTCAGGGAGCTCAGTTTTTTATTATTATATGTCGGTAAATTGTGCAATTTTTGAAGCAGTTTTCAAAACAATCGAATGCATTGTCTCTTATTTTCTGCTTGCTTTTATAATTTATTTGTGTGTTATTTTTATTTAGGTGAAATTTAGTATGTTAATTTAAAAGAAAAATTAACGGATTAAAATAAATTTGCTATTTAAAATCTAGAAAATCAGTTATTTTCGTAACTGCATAGTTTTAGTGCACGTTTGAGCAGATGTGCTCAAAGTGTTCACGTAAGTGCAGTTGTGCTCACGTAAATGCAAGTTTGAGCAGACGACAGCGAATAATAAAAGAGTAAATGCTCCGATTCTGAAACATTAAATACGACATCTAAGGTTTCTGAAAGGGACCAGTTTGCCGAAAGAAATAAAATCACGTTTGCGGTGCTGATGTATATGGTGGAATAAATAGGAAAAGCTCTCGCTCTCAGTGTTCGCGGGAGCTAATGCCGCTTTATGATGCGCATCAGGAAATCAATGCAGTAACCCTGCGTGCGCTCGCCAAAGTTCGCCAAAAGAAAAGAAGGAAAAAAAGATTCTGCTCCTCAGTGACTTACTGCGATACCCACTCTGCCTACCCAAATCAAAAACGTACTTATCTCGCAGTGGAAGTGTAAAGAGAAGACCCGCTATCGCAAGTGTGCGTCCACTACGCAGAGAAAGTTTACTTCCGGTCAAAGGTTAAATCTACTTTTTTTTAAGCGGATTTCACTTCCCGTAAAAAATGTATGGCATGCTTCTCGAGAGCATTCAGCATTATGTTCAAACAGAATACGGAGAAGACGTGTGGAATAAGGCCTTAGAAGAATCTGGCTTTAAAAATGCCGTCTTCACCACCCACCAGGTCTACCCGGACCGCCTCATACCCAAGTTGGCCGCCGCTTGCAGTCAGCATACCATGCACACGAATGACAAAAAAGACGATTTTTTGTGCTTTTTTGGTCGTTGTTTCGTAAGGTTCTTCACCCATTATGGATACGATACTCTCATCCGTGCTTCGGGTAGATATTTTAGAGACTTCCTCAACGGCATTGACAACCTCCACCATCAGATTCGCTTCAGTTATCCTAAGATGCAAAGTCCTTCTTTCTACGTGGAAAAAGAAGACGTTGGAGGAGCAAGATTACACTACAGATCCAAAAGATCCGGATTTGGATATTACGTGATTGGGCAGCTAATCCAGATAGCACGGACATTCTATGACTTAGACCTCCAAATAAGCATCTTGAAAGATGAGGAAGACGGGAATGGTTCGTCAGGTTGCCACCTAATTTATGACTTAAGGTAAGAAAAGTTATCTTTTTATTTATCATTCAAATCTTTCTATGATAATGCATGAAAATAAGTTCTTAAGATCAGTTTTTGTTTCAGTTCCAACATTAAATTCCACGAACGTTCTTTCGAGGTAGCGCATGAGATTTTTTGTACTGATTTTACTGTACATCACCGATTTTTGTAAAAACTGGTCACTACTTTTTTATACTATAAGGTATATTCTTCCTCCTTTCTGCATGCCCTTCGTGGTTTAACGGGAGCACACTCGGCGCGTATTCGAAAGGTCAGGTTCGAGTCCTGGCTAGGGCATTGCTAATTTTTCATGTACTCCTGCTTCAAAAAAAAAAGCAATGACTATGTATACACTGTCCCCCGAGCTAAAAAGGAGGTGGATGATGACGATTGGGTCCAATAATCCCCGGTCCTCCATAAAAAGGAAAAGTATATATTTTCTCCCTCCTTTCTGCATGCCTTCGTGTTGTAACGCTAGCACACTCTGCGCGTATTCGAGAGATCCAGGTTCGAGTCCCGGCGAGGACATTGCTAATTTTTAATATACTTCAAGAAAAAAAACCCTAATGATTCTATAATACATATATATAGTTCGAGGTCATGGGGAAACGTTATTGTACCTAAGAAAAAGGCGTAGTGAAGAAATTAAAGTAATAAAAGTAAGTAAGCTTTTTGTACGGGAATCTTGAACAAGTTAAAACCAAATTGAGAACTTAAAGTTAAAATCCATAAAAGCATCGGTGAAATAATAAGCCGTATGTGTCTTTACATCGCCAAACAATATTTTTCCTTGCTCAGTTTATTTGTTCTTCCCCACTATGCGAAAAATTAGATGGACTATTTATCAGGAATGTGAAATATCGAAACTCTTGGGATTTTTAAACATTTCTCATCCCTTCTAAGAACTCTAAAATAGCATTTTCGGGTAATATTGCTTCTTTATTTGAATATGGCAAAGCATTAATGGGTTACGATCTTAAGCTTAAGATTTGCTTTTCTAAAGATCCTACTTTCTCAAATGAAGTTCTCCACAAAAACATACTCACGAGACTATTCTTTGAGTGCTTTGTGGAAATTCACTACCTTTTGAACAAATCGGTAGCATATAATTAGCAAAAATGAATTCTCGGAATGCTTAAATTTTGCGCAGTTCCAAGAGTCTAATAGCTCAAGTTTGAGATTTTTATCCCAAAGCGCAATTTCATTTTGGCATTTTGCGTTGATTCACTATAAATGACTGTTCACTTTTGACAAACCCTGTGTTAATTTAAAGAAATTAAATAATCAAGAACTTGCATAAATATATGTATGTTCCTCGCATTGTGATATAAAACAACGGTACCTAGTGCCATTCAATATTGAATAACGTAGCCCTCCACTCAAATATGGGCACGTGGAAGCCCGAATTTGGAATTTGTTTTATTATTTATTTATTTTTCTCTTTATTTCTCTTTATTTAATATTTTTAAAACTTTAAACAATTTTTGATTATCAAACTCAACGATTTCAGAGCGAGCAAAATTATATCTCCAGCGCGCGAGACTGTGTATCGATAATTCTAAAGATATGTTCTTTTTAAATACTTTGTGATATTGCTGTTAAATTTAATTTTATGATTTAAGTGCGAAGAACATGATATTTAATAAAACGTTAAAAACGCCCCTTTGGGAGTAATATAAAATCTGAAACCTTTCAGGGCTTTGTTTTTGTAATAAAATATTTATTAGGTATTTATTCAGTAGAAATGTTAAAACACATCCTCATGGAAATATAGCTCTTCTACATTGTAGATCATTTTTATTTCATATATTTTGCTTTATCTCTTCGTTACAATGCTACAAACGGATATTGCACATAATTCTAGTAATTCAGATAAGAATCCACCAGCTCCAGTTATTGAATGAATAAGACGATGTAAAACTGGTAATTTGATCTTGGTACAGATGCTAGCGAAAGACCAGCCTGCATGGATTTTTTTTTTTTTTTTTTTTTTTTTTTGTCTTGGGTAAATGAATAAGAATCAGTTTCCCTAAGCAAGTCCTCTACGAAACATTAATTTATCTGGAGTAGATAGCCATCGCTTTCTTTTCTGTATTCAAATAAACTGAGCTACATCACAACTCGATATGCCCGTGAAATGAAATTTTGAAATTGTCCAGCGCACAAACTTTTCGATCCTTTCTCCACCATTTATCTTCAATGACGACTGTATACTATAATTTATAAAATTAATATTGGAATGTATTACAGAACTGTGATTAGATACTATGTTGTAAAGTTTAAAATAGATAGAAAAGAATTATATCGCTATTGCAAAAAATCAGGGTAGAAAAATGCACCAAAAGTAATTGTTGCGTATGCAAAACAAAAATCGCAAATTCAGGCAATAAATACTTTTATACGTGTGTTAAATCATATTTACGAAAGTGAAAATTACATTATATATTCTTTTATGTTAAGAGTGTTTGCGTCATGCTCTTTTATAGTTCTATGATTCAGTGTACCCTTTTTTTTTAAACGTAGCACTGTGCATATTTTTACCACTTTCTGAGTAAGCATTTCCTTGAATTTCCTTAGCGTATGTTTATGGTGGAATAGCTCTTTAACTTGCGATCCTATTTGTGAAATTCAATGATTTTCTGAACAGAAATGTTAGTTCTGCTAGTAATTTCAGCCTTGTAATATTTTCCAGGCAGGTTTGTGTCTGGTAACTTGGCAAACAAAATAAATACTAGTTTATCGTTTCTCTTGTAATACATCGAGGCTGCTCGCACATTTTTTAGAGGATTTTCATTGTAATTACAGAAATATTTTACCTGAAATTTGTAAGTTTTAGATCTTCCATAAATCCCTAATTCTTCACTACCTTTCTACATCATAATTTCCAAGACGATAAAATATTTTTATAGTTTCGGAAGAGGTATTTTATCCCATTCATCACCAACAGCTTTCCAAAATATAAGAAAGTTGTAGGTCGACGTTTGGACAACCTGCTTTTTAAAATTCCGAAAGCTCAAAAATGTATCGGTGATAGGCCAGAAGATTTAGTAGATATCGCTGCTTGATTTGTCTTGATGCAAATTCTACTGATAATCCACACTGTGTGTAAAGAGAAGGTATTTCATATTTGAAAATTAAGTATAACATATTTTTCTAATAATATGTGAAATTGATCTTAACATTTTTCTTTATTCTCTTTATTTTTAATTTCCGTTTTATGAAAAAACAGCTACAATCATAAATTCCTTAAGAAAACTTTTCTTTAGATTCTTTGAACCATGTTTTAAGACTTTTTCTCCTCTTAAATGGCTCCAGCCCACCAGCGGCCGAGCGGTAAAGTCGCTGAACACTGGTAGTTCGGTCCCAGGTTCGAATCCCGCGAACGGGCTGGCTGCATGGGCGTTTTGGTGGTTTTCCCCATGTGTAACGTGTATACGAGCCAGTTTCCCTTAGAAAGTCCTCCACGAAAGGCATCCCTCTTCTTAGGCAGATAGCCCTAGTGTGCTTTGCCATAATTAAATACACCACTTAAATGGCTCCCTTTTTATTGCGATCATTTAATTAAACCCAAGCTTGGTATGTTGTGGCAACATTTTTCAATTTTTGTCGGGATAAATGTTTCTCATAAAGAATTCTGCTATATGTCATGGAGAAAGACGACTCAGATTATGTTTTTCGCATTTTAAAGACATAAATCGGCTGTTTACAGTTGACATTGAAAATTTTTATGATTTTGTAATTGTGCTGTGGCTTAAAATATTTTATTTTGACATTAAAGATCTTACCTTAACAACATTCGAAACATTAAGTTTTTCACCTGGATACGTATATGGAACAATTTTTGCCCTTGAAGCTCAATTCTGGCGTGTTTTTTCTTGTTCACAACATTACCTATCGTAGCTTTAGTTGTCTAAAACCCACGGCTTTCGCAATTTTTTAATCACTAGCTACGAATAATTTATGTTACGGAAAGAACACAGTCTTCCATCCATTGCTTCCTTAAAAGCGTCATTTTGTATGAAAACAAAGTTGTCGAGTAGCAGACGATAATTTATACATTCAAAAATATAGCTGCAGTCGGAAAAAAAAATTCCAATCAAAAGATTTTTTTTTTACGACAGAGGAAAATCGCCTAAAAATGTGCGAACAGCCTTCTTATAACTGCTTGCTTTATAACTTATAACTGCATATTGATTCGCAGCTTTTGAGAAATGTCTGCATTATAGGGCTCCTACAAAAATTTATTTCATTTTTGCAAAAAGAAAATATATGGTTTCAAATAAAAGCATAATAAAATGAAATAATTTTAACATCAGATGATGCAAATTTTAATTTGGAAGTGTTCATTAACATCATTTAACATGTGTGTTTAGACGGGTTTATTGCAGATTCAAAATAATTGTTACAAGCACTTAAACTGTTTTATTTAGTTTAGTTCAAACTATTTATGCTATTGATCCAAGTAGTCAAAGCTACTATTAATCGATAAATACCTTAAGAAAACTAACTAACTTAACTAGTTCTCTTACACGCGTAATTTATTTTCTAAATAATTGTTATTAACTTCTTTACATAGATTCACTGACAATGATGAATAAATTTTCTTTCGAAAAATATGTATTTCTTTCGAAACATACGTGATTATTCGAACCATTATACCTTTCCTGGATAAATTTTAAAAAAGTGAAAGCTTTAAGATTTTTTTTTTATATTATGCACAAAGGGGCGATTTTTTCATTCACACATACATACATGTTTCGATAACACATGCGCTAAAAATATTTTTAAACGGCATCTTCAGAATTTACGATAGACTGTCTTGATAGACAGTTCAGGAATTTTTTTTTTTGGTGCGTGTGTGTGTGTGTGCGCGCGCGCAGTGTGTTGCCAGTGCTCGCTTTGAAATCGTTGAGTTTGTTAATCAAAAATTCGTTAGTTTTACAAAATATGAAATAGACAATAAAACAATTTCTAAATACCAAATTCGGCCGGATTAC